ATCACAAATGCAGACATGGTTTTATGTTTACGCGGCGCGATGCAACACAACACGTAAAAAGACCATATAAGTCATTATAATCCATAATTATGTCCCCACTGGATGCAACGAATGCCTCATTTATAATGGGTTTTCATGTTTTTGAATCATCGCTCCGGCCTGACAGGGCATCATCACAATATGGTAGGGGCATATTGTATTACATTTCCGTCACACGCTTGAGGTATTCGGCCAATCACAACGCACTGGATAGCTGGCTAATCACAGCACACCTTGCTTTTCAGACCGATGAGCTTTGTAAAAATGTATGCGTTTCAGAAAGGCGGGGCATAGAGGAGAAACAATAATGTACAGTATATGGAAAATAATGTGTTTTTTTAACCTTAAACTGCATAAACACATTTCATTACACCAAATACACCAAATAATGTTCTTTTTAGCAACATCATATGACCCCTTTAAAACTTATCACAGACTGTCAGGACGGACCTTTATGCAAAAATGCAAATGCTCGCGTGAATTTGTGACATTTATACGTAAGGATTTGACCTTAAACTGAAATTTTTTGTGCTGAGGATGCACACACATCTGTCAAAGCGCCTGACAGGGCAAGCCATTACGCTAATGAATTAGCTTAAAGCTTAAAATAAAGAATTCTCATGTTTTGGGCAGTTTGGATCATGTAACTCTCCCGCAGCATCTCATTCTTTTTCCTCCACTATTTTTTAGATGCATTTTGTCCATAGAAATGCATAATTCAGTGTTGTAATTTGACGCGACCAGCTGAAGTTGGATGTGCACTGTGGGCAGACCCGACTAATCGATAATGAGAATCATTGTCGATGATTTTCATAATCGATAATAATCGATTTTATCAATTAGTTGTTGCAGCCTTAAAGATGTTATATATATCGCAGCCATCTGTCACTCCACATTAAACAGCACCAAAACGGCATTTAATATTTGAATATTGTAATAAAATGGACAGAATTTTAAATCTAAGACTGTTTCATATCAAAAGTAACAAATCACAAAGATTATTACAATTTATTGACTGGGAGGCACGCTACAATGTTCCGTTAATTATCTGACAGGCTAGACTAATTGATTCTTGGGATTTATGAATCGATATAATTTCATAAAAATTATAATCGATTAAAATCAAGAAATCGATTTTTTACCCAGCCATAGTTTAAATAATATTAAAGCATTTTTGAGAACTTGCTGTATTCTCTGTGTGCTCTGGTAAGCTTTTGAAAGCAGTTGATAAACAATTGAGGAGAAAAAAATAAAATGCTTCCTGATAGAACATGCAGAGCTCTGAGCCAACTCTTGAACACTAGATTGCAGCAGTAATTGGCCTGTGATTAGGGCTGAAACGATTAGTCGACATTATCGACAACGTTGACAATAAAAAATTGTCGACAAATATTTTTGTTGTCAAGTAGCCGTTTGATCTCATATGACCTAATGTAAGAGCCTGCAATAACGCGGTTTGACCAGTGTGGCGCTGTAGCGCAAGACTGTAATTCAGCTCTCCTGATGCAAATCAAGAGAAGAAGACACAGCGGCAGCGCTTCAGAGTAGTGATGGGAAGTTCGGATCATTTTACCGACTCGGACTTTTGAGTCTCGTTCAGCAAAATGAACAAATCTTTTTTCGAGTCATTTCGTTCATTTGAACAAAATCTAATTAAAATGTTACGTGTTACTTCCCTAATATGTCTACTACTTACGCAAACGTTGATCACACTACAAACAATACAAAACTGCTATAAGAAACAGAAAAGATTAATTCATTGTTTACCTGAGTCTTCAGTCTATGATTAGCTCACCACCTCTTATCTGACAAGTCTTCGGGTTTGTGCTTAGGGGGCTGTCACGTGATGAACGATCGACTCGGAAAAACCCGAAGACTCGAACCAGGTGAACTACTTGACTAATTCCAGTACAGAACCTATAGGATGTTGCGCATGCGCGACTGAACGAATCACTCCTCGAGACGACTCGTTCTTCCTGAGTCACATTAAAGATTAGTTCAAAACGAACGAATCGTTCAAGAACGACCCAACACTACTTCAGAGCAAACGCAGCCAAACCTGAGGCTGCTGAGCAGCGTTTGGGTGAATATGTAAATATATACTGCACGCTTTCCTGTCAATAACAAAATAAACGCATCAAAAACTGACAGTGGTGAGAAAGTAGCAGTTTAAAACGCATCTGATTACAGCGATGTGGATGTTTGCACGAGCTCTGCAGTTCAGTACTCCAGTCACGTCACGTTTATTTATATAGTATTTTATGCAATAGATAGCCTTAAATCAAGCAACTTTACATTATTATTGAATATGAAAAACCAGAGTCAGCCGTGTTGCTTTCATTTAGAATTACAACTTGATTTTCAGTTAAAAAGCAGCTCTCCAGTGTGGAGCTAGCAAATGATCAAATATTTTTATTAGTGGGGAAAAAAACATTTCATTACAGTTATAGTTTGGTTTGCAGAGATCAAAGCTTGATCTAGCTCAGGACTGTTTTGATTATCATAACCCTATAAGGTATTTTAAGATAGATTATGTTGTGAATATTAGTTTATCCAAAAATAAAATGTCTTATCACTTAACCTTTATTTTGTTTCTTATCCATATGACTTACAAAAATAAATTTTAGGCAGAATGATGTGTCATTCAGCTACTTTTTTCATATAGCTAATTAAATGGTGAGTAAGAGAGTTTCTCTGCCATCTCATTTTGTGTGCCAAATATATTTATTTGTTTAAATTAATTGTATAACTGTAATTACATAATATGACTTTCAAAAGCTGAAGTGATTACCTTAATTTATTTGTTAGAATATGTATAACTCAGTATTTTAACTAATTGCAAAAGCTGAATAATCAATAAATGTCTACTAATTAATCAGCGAACTAATCGATGATTAGTCGATTAATCGCTCTAAGAATCGTTAGATTAATCGATTATCAAAATAATCGTTTGTTGCAGCCCTACCTGTGATATTCAGTTTGAGGTATAAATCGGTTCAGACCATCTCAAGACATAACCTCACCTGTCAGCACTGATGGCCCTCTTGCACAGCTGTTATTCTGTTCTCCGAGTAAAAGGAACTGCTCTATTCAAGCCAGTTTGGTGCTTGAGGCTTATTGTCATAGCAGACATGGTTGGAGCCCAGGGGAGCTAGAGTTAGATTCAGAACAGGAAAGGTTGGTTCTCTGTGGGTTGTGTTGACTGATTGAAAGCCAGTGTCAGAGTTCTTCCTCTGAAAACACGTCAACCAGAGGTTTCGCGGTGTTATTAGTCACATTGTCTTGTAGACTCTTATACACTGTCAGACTACATTGCACTGTCCAAAATAAGAAGAGTATATAACTGTCAAGATTTCAGGGTTGTGAAGGAAAGGGACTAGAAAAGCTGTTTGTGAGATTAAATATATTGATCGCTGTGGGTAATTCATGTGTACAACTGTTGTTTGAGCAGATACTATAGTGTCGTGACGAAGTAAACTCTCCCTGCTAAGGTCAGGCTATTCTTAGAATAAATGCTACTGTGCCAGGAAGTTGCTTTTTGAGTCTGAGGAAGGATGGGAGGAAAAACATGAATACTGTACTTTCCAACAATAGCAGTGGAAAATATAAGTGCCCTCACGCACACATGACAGTATAGGCCTAGTTAGTTTTTTTCTCTTTCTTTATGTTCTCAGTTCCTCTTATTAATAAATGTTATAACAGTATAAGTTTAGCTTCACACATAAGCCACACATATTCAGATTCATGCCCGTATTTACAGATTTCTATGGAAGGATATTGTGGCCTGTTTTCAAAAGGAATTGCAAATCTTGCATTACCGTTTGCATTTTCGCTTTCATGAATGCACAGTGACTGCCCAAGTCCATTTGCAACTGTATTTCCCATGTCTTAAGAGTTATGAACCTGTCATATTTAAATAGCAATATTAATCACCATGTCTGCTATTTCACTCTCTCTGTGTTGCGCCTGTAACCTGCAAAAACTCAAATGGAATCACAATTCCTTTAGCATTTAAATTTCCGATGCCTTATACAGAAACCTATCAGTCATTGTCAGGGGTGGGACTATACTATGGGGCATGTTTGTATTGTGAGGTGACGGCACTCACAGACGATTAAACGAACAGACAGTGCAACATTCTTTACATTCTTGGCACCTCACACAATAACTAATTCCTTCGTTTTTACCCCAAATGCAGCGACTATCCCCTGCTAACAGCGGGAGCCACAACGGTACGCACAATAGGTCAATATTCACTATTAACCAAATGCTTTTCATACAGCAAGCTCCAAGACCACAATAAATTCATAATCACTTTTGCTGGATGGTGACATTGCTGGCCATATATTACTGATTAAGTTTTAGTTTAGTTTGTCATTTTTTTCAAGTTTGACTGGCTCCCAGTAACCATTTTATAATTTATGACCGTTATTTTAAGAATAAATTCAGTGTGGTGAACTGGAAATCAAAAAAAATATATATATTTTTGGCCCTACATGGTGCACCTCCCTGACGTAGTGCCCTGGGCACGTGTCCAGTCACCCATTTGGTTAAAACAGCCCCAATAGAGCCACAGATGCATTAGGCAGCAGAAACTCTGTCAGTATGAAAGCTCAATGCCCTGTATTGCTGATTTGCTTACGTGCTGCAGACACAGGATGTTTGAAACGGGCCTAAGCCTTGTAATTTAGATATGAGTCATCATGTTGCAGCTCAAAGTGTAATTTCAAAAGTCACAGAGGTTTATCCTCATTCTGTCACCACAGTTTACCTGTTAAATTTCTGCACCAGGTCTTGTGTTCAATAATTGCTAGTCAGATCACAACCGGTCACTGATTTTCATCTCTCTTTTTCTCTCTTCCTCCTTTTATTCTGTAGGTCAGTATGGGAAATCCCTGAGCAAGTATATTCGACATTATGAAGGCCTGTCCTACGACACAGACATCTTACACAGCAAGCACCAGAGGGCTAAGAGAGCTCTGTCTCACCAGGACCAGTTCCTGCACCTGGACTTCCACGCTCACGGCAGGTCAGCCAAAACGGTCTTGCTCTTCCTGCTCAATTGTTGTTTGTGGAAGAATGAATGTGTCTTGTTTTGGTTTAATACTCGTCCTCTGAGCATTTATGAGGGGAAAAGTGCTTCATAGATCTTGCGTTTTGTGAAAATCCAGTCTTTTTTTCCTTTAGGATTGACCCTGGATTGTTCTACCTGAGGTTACACTTTTTACAGGGCATTACAGAATGGTAGAGACCCCCAGTGATTCAGCACTCCAGGCAATGTGGAAACAAATTGATCAGGCTTAGATCTTTGGCTTAGATTTTTGGGGTCTGGCAAACAACCCGCTGACAGAAATCTTCCTGATTCTGTGGTTTGTGATCATGTCTTTAGCGTCGTGTCGTATGATTTGCACTATTCTGATGCCAGATTTTGTCTTACTATGACAGACACTGTCTTCCCTTACAGCTTTATGACATAATATCTCGGTAGTAAATAAACAGTTCATTGCTCACTGTACAGTAGTGACTTTAATATAGCTGCCAGCTTTTTTACTCTACATTCCCCTCTATATTTAATCTACAGATTTCATCTGACACAAACCTTTTTTGTAGTCTTTTTCACTACAAGGATTTTAGAAAGATTAATTTTTTTAGTCTCTGATAAAGTAGAGAAACTGATGAAATTGCACTGGGTCTTCATGAAAGAATTATTGCAGGTGTAATACAAGTTACCCTCTACAGCATCTGTAGCTTGATGTCGATTACCACAGAAGATCATTTCAACTCGTACCTCAGTCTGAATAAAAATGTCAAAACATGTACAGCCTCTCCCCATGAAAGTCTTTGCTGTATATTTATTGTAGGGTTTAAAAGCAGAAATGTTAAGCTTGTATTTTTGTTAACATTCTTACATGAATTATTCATTTAAAAAATAACTTAATCTGTACAGATTAAGAATATTTTTTTTTTTTACAGTCCAAAGGGTTGCTCATACTGACAGCAATTTGCAGCAGCAAAGTGACAGGATAGTATTCATTTTTAGCAAGCGTTGGTGATTTTCTTTGACACAAGCAAAAGATACAATTGGCAAAGAAACAAAGTTGAGCAGAGCTCAGCTTTATGCAAATGACCAGCGACACATTAAATGTAACATTTATTTGCTGCGTTTAAAACTGACCCCAATGGGCTTCCATTGTAAGTGCATTACTGTGAACACATTTTTCCTTTTGTTTTTATAAACCAAGGCATGTATCAAAATTATATCTTTTTTTAGCAACTTTCTACAGATGCCTTTCAACAAAGCTTACGTTTATTTAACTACATTAATTTATCCAGTAATAATTCATCAAGGACTTGTGATTTCAGGTCTTTTAAGGACCATTAAGCACATACAAGCCTTTCTCAGTATATTGTGATGGAATGAACGAGCATCTGAATGAAATAAAATGAATGAAAACCTTCGGGTTACAAGTCCAACTCTCTAACCATTAGGCCACAACAAGAGTCAAAGGACAGGAATACCTGAGCCTGCTAAGCTCAATGACATAATCTCTCCTACAACGGGACAGATCTGTCTGTGTGTTCCTGTGATTGAATGTTGAAAGCTAGTTGGCAGCTCCCTCACATTGAACGTTTGGTTTTGACTTGTTCTGTGTGTTGGTAGACATCTTAGACAACATTGGCTTGGATGTGTGTCAAGATAAAAGAGTAAGCATAGACCAGAAATTACTGCTCAAGTGCAGATTACCGTACTGTACATACTTTTCCTTATGCACATACACAAGTGCACAAGCACTAGTGTATTCCTTTTGTCATGACAAAAGAACACACCAAAACACACACACGCAAGTCCACATAACCATCTGCTTTCTTCTTGCCTGCATGTTTGTGAAAGAGTGTTCAGCAGCCTAAAATAGCACATCCCAAGCGTACTTTTATTTTCACTTTCTGAAAATAAAAGAATGAAATGAGACTAAAGGAAAACAGCAGCTTACAAAGGAAGTATTGTTATCAGTGAGTGAGTATGCTACAACGGATGCTATATTAAGTTGTCATTATGGACCTCAGAAAATCTGGATGAAACTAAACATAGGTGAAAACAGGGTCCAAATGTTGTGTGATTCAATTACTTAAAACATATTCGGATCTAGTCAGAAATCCATGTGACTGCATCATGTATATTTAGTGCAAACACTCTTCTGAGACACCAGGTGAAATACTTCTGAAATACCGGTGTAAACAGCAATCCGTCTCTTCTGGATCATCCAAGATGGATGTTGATATCAGGTGTAAACAGGGCCCTTGTTTGCATGATCTCTGAGGGCTCTTTCTCCCTTTGGACATCAAAGGTCTCTTTTGAAGCCATTGCACTCAAACATGATGGTCATCTATTGTGAAAGGGGTTCTGAGAGGCCAAAATGTGAGTCAAGTTGATGTTTAAGTGCCTATCTGGATCTTTGAGTGTGGCACAGCATATGAAGTGCCCATTTGTCACATCTAATGGAGTGTTTTGTCTTTAAATACATCATTATTCATGAATCAGCCTTCTTATGTTTGGATGCTGAATTTAATTATGTAATAAGGCTGAAGTGCTCATTGAATGATGCAATATGTATTAATTTGTCTGTAAGCGTGCTACATGAGAATGTCTGATAACTTAAAGTCAAAGAAAATTGCACTTATAATTAATTTGAAGATGTGTTACTGAGAAGATTCATTATCTGAGGTTGGAGAATCTTTTGCGTTTAATAAAACTTGCTAATGAGCAGACAGACATCATTAAATGTAAATAAGTTGCCCTTGGATCAGTTGCCTTCATATTAATATTGATCTAGGCTACTTCACTTTTATTGGTTTCTGAAATCAAATTAGCAATTATTTTAGGGATGCACCAATATTAAATGTCTGGTTGACACTGTTGCTGATATTAAAGCCTTGAAAATATATTTTTTTAAAGCTTCAAATGAATTTAAGCATTACAACACTATAATGAGCAGTATTAAAATGGATGTTCATTTTGAGCTTTGCTAAGATTACATTGAGCAGGGTTATGAATATATAAAGCATTATGTTTAATTTTAAACTATATTAAAATAGAAAACCGTTATTTTCATTTGTGAAAATATTTCACAATATTACTTTTTTACTGTAATAAATAAATAAGTTTCTCTACTTAACAAATAAATGCAGCCTTGGTGAACATAAGATTTGGTGGAGATTTCATTCAAAAACATTAAATATTGTGACTCCACACTATTTAACTGTAGTGTACATCCACTATCAACCAATACCAATAATCAATACGATACAGATATATTGTGGATCTCTAAACTATTTATAACAAATATACATGGGGCACGTGATATACTCAACTTTTTCTTTTCTGCACACAGATTCCCTGTATGATCTCAATTGTAACACAACATCAGGCAGTGAACCCCCCCCCCCCCCCCCCCCC